CGAGCACCTTGTGCCGGTGCTCGCTTGGGCAGCCGAGCCCGAGTGCTGGGAGCTGTGCCGGAGATCCCTGCAAAGAGCGGCTGTCCGCGCTGCTGGGCTCTGCTGAGCCTCGCAATGCCTGCAAGCAGTGCCTGGAGGGATGGGAAGCCCTTTGGTCACACCGCCTGCTGGGACTGCGCTTGGGCTTGAGGGCATTTACCTGCCAGGAGCCTCACAGGGATACCGCTGATAGCATCGCACACGAGTGCTTCCAGAGGCGTGTACACCCATAGCCGGAGTTAGCGCACTGTGTGTAAACAAGTTTGTACTCTCATGTGGGCAGTGTGTTTGTGCAGATCTCAGGAGCGCCCATGCCCCGGCATGGGATGGGGACTGCAGCTCCAGGGCACATGGAGCAAACAGGAGGTGACGGAAAGCACAGTGACACGAACAGGGACACAGAGAGCCACCTCCGAAAGCAGAGCCTCTCTCACGTGTGTACATAGTCACACACTCGGCAGAGCAAACAGCACTGCACATCTCTGCATGTGGGGTCTGGGCTGTGACTTGGAGGCATTTGCAGCCTTGCAGTGTCCCGGACAGCGGATGTGCGCAGGGAAGGCACATTTAGCCAGGGCATTCATGAAGATGTGCAAGACCGTGTTGTTGCACATGGTAATTTAGGAGACTAACTGGAGATGTGACCTGTACCATAGAAAGCAGTGCAAGCAGGGAGTCGTCCCATGTATCACGTAACATAAATCCATTCCTGAGACTTGGTCTTGCTATAGGTGATAGACTGAAGGGTGGCAAATTAAAGTTGTTTGCAGTTTTTTATCTTCCTTTAGAAAATGCCAGGTTTTGGGGCGAGCACTTGAAAGCTGCCAACTTTCAGTTCTCACCAGTTCACCATAATTCTCTTATTCTGTTGTGGGAATGGGTGCTGGCTGTGTGTCCTCTCGGACACTGCTGTGTCGACAGGCAACCTGGAGAGGGGGCAGGGAAGGCAGGGAAGAGGGGAAACAGCCGCAAACCTGACTTCCCTTTCCCTCAGATCCTTGTGACGGCTGGCCCGTGTCCCCACGGGTGGCACACTGGGCATGCATGCAGGTGGGAGGGACGCACAGGAAAGGAAGAGTCTGGCACTCTCTGTGTGCCCAACTGCATGGTGAGCTGAGGGAGGGCACAGAACTACTCTCACTGCTTCTCTCTCCTCAGCTGTCCCGTTTTATGGAGCTGCGGGCCAGCGGGGCCAGCCCAGCTCCCC